CCCCTAAGGAGCCTCTAATGAGCTTATAAGGAGCCTCTCAGGAGCCTCCGAGAAGCTTCTACTGAGCTGCCAAGGAGCCTCCACGGAGCTTCTAAGGAACTGGTAATACGCCTCTAGGGAGCCCCTAGGGAGCTTCGACGGATTCCTACGGCCTCCAAGGAGCTGCTTGGGAGCCTTAGGGTAGCCTCTAGGGAGCCTCTGAGGAGCTTCTAAGGAGCTTCTCAAAGGCCTCTAAAGGGCTTCTTATTCCCAGCCATCCTATGGTATTGGGTCCTCGTTTCGAAGAGACAGTCCCCGCGTTCACTCCTCCTCCCGTTGCCCCTTCCCCCCCACATCCCTGCCTCTGCTCTCCGCATGCCCGTCACATGCTTCCTGGCCCCATGAGGAGCTCTACCGAGGGCCCCTATAGCACCGTCCACATGCGTCTGCCGCACCCATGTCGGCACTCCGCTCACACGTTTCGTGGCCCCATGGGGAGCTCCACCGAATGCCCCAGTGCCACCGCCCGCATGCGCCCCAAAAACTTAATTTGGCAGACCCCTCACGCGTTTCGTGGCCCAAAGGGGAGCTCCACCGAAGGCTACACTGCAACCGTCCAAATGCGTCCGCCTCACCAATTTCGGCACACACACACACACCTCACACGTTTCGTGGCCCCATAGGGAACTCCACCGACGGCCCCAGTGGCACCGTCCACGTGCGTCCGCCACACCAATTTCGGCACACCCCTCACTGGCGCCGTCCACATGCGTCCGCCACACCGACTTCGGCACACCCCTCACGCGTTTCGTGTCCCCATGAGGTGTTCCACCCAAGGCCCCAGTGCCACCGTCCACATGCGTCCGCCACACATATTTCGGCACACCCCTCACACGCTTCGTGGCCCCATAGGGAGCTCCACCCAAGGCCCCACTGGCACCGTCCACATGTGCTGGCCACACCCATTTCGGCACACCCCTCACATGTTTCGTGGCCCCATAGGGAGCTCCACCGAAGGCCCCAGTGCCACCGCCCGCATGCGTCCGCCACACCCATGTGGGCACACCCCTCACGCGCTTCGTGGCCCCATAGGGAGCTCCACCGAAGGCCCAAATGGCACCGTCCACATGCGTCCGCCACACCCATGTGGGCACACCCCTCGCACGTTTTCGTGGCCCCATAGGGAGCTCCTCCAAAGGCCCCACTGGCGCCGTCCACATGCGTCCGCCACACCGATTTCGGCACACCCCTCAAACGTTTCGTGTCCCCATGAGGTGTTCCACCCAAGGCCCCAATGCCACCGTCCACATGCGTCCGCCACACCTATTTCGGCACACCCCTCACACGTTTCGTGGCCCCATAGGGAGCTCCACCCAAGGCCATGCTGGCACCGTCCACATGCGTCCGCCACACCTATTTCGGCACACCCCTCACATGTTTCGTGGCCCCATAAGGAGCTCCACCCAAGGCCCCAGCGACACCGTCCACATGCGTCCGCCACACCGACTTCGGCACACCCCTCACTCGTTTCGTAGCCCCACAAGGCGCTCCACCGAAGATGAGATTCACGACTGCGGTGCTCACAGCTGCACATGGTTGGGTCCTTCGCCAGGCTGATTTTTTAAGTCGAGCCAAGCTCGGCGCGACAGAAACCCGCGTATCCGACAAACGGTCACTGGAAAAAAAACAAAGCCTATCAAACTGGGGCCTCGCACCCCTTATCCCCGTGGTCAATATTTTCACCGGTCCGGGTGCACCAAAGGACTCGTCTCCTGGCAATCTGAACAAGATGGGCCCCCTTCAGTCGCGCTTGGACGCAACATGGGCGTCGGCTGGTGCACGCGGCTTCCGTAAACGGCCGAGACACCGGGACACACCATATACGACAATTGTAGCTATAGCCAGTGCGGTCGGTAACCAGACTTGTTCGAGAACGTCCAATTTCGACTTCGATTTCGACTGCGAAGCTTGCTTCTTCCACGCTTCCCGCTGGTTGACTTTCGGGAAACTCTTGTTCGGGCAAATCTCCACGCGCAAGAATTGGCAGAGAGGCCCCCAACCTTCAGAAGGATCCCAAATCAAAAGCTGAGACGCTGGCACGCGCGCCTGGACACAATTCGTGCGATTGCGCATCAATTCCATGGACATGTTCAGCTGCAGTGGGTCGCCCTCCTTACCACATGGGAATTGGCCGCATGAGTTCGCACTGATTATTTGCATGACCGTGCTCAAATGATTAAATGGCGGTATCCACTTGAAAGGTTTTCTCCACCACCACCCGCCATGCGGGATATACGGATGGTTCCTCAACATCAACATTGACTCAGCCCAAACACGTGGGTCCCGTACCGATAGAATCACTTTTGCCTTCGGCGAGTGTACGAATTGCGCCTCCCAAATGTCACTTGCTGGGCTGTCTAAGAAAGCATTGAACCCTGAATGCACAAGACGATCCAGGAGTCGCGTATGTGCCCCTACATTGATGCCTCCACTTCGCATAGCGTCCTTCCAATCACACCAC